AAAAAAAAAGGAACAACACAAAATTGTTAATTTTAGAATATTTCAATTATTAAATTATATAAAAGACAAATATAAAAATTAAATAAATAATTACTTTACATTTTCAAAAAATGTAAAGACTATTTATATTATTTAAATAAATTTGAAAAAATAAATTAAAGATTATTTCATAAAAAAAAGGGACAACACAAAATTGTTAATTTTAGAATATTTCAATTATTAAATTATATAAAAGACAAATATAAAAATTAAATAAATAATTACTTTACATTTTCAAAAAAAGTAAAGACTATTTATATTATTTAAATAAATTTGAAAAAATAAATTAAAGATAATTTCATAAAAAAATGGAACAGCACAAAATTGTTAATTTTAGAATATTTCAATTATTAAATTATATAAAAGACAATTATAGAAATTAATGAATAATTAATTTACATTTTCAAAAAATGACACTATTTATATTATTTAAATAAATTTGAAAAAAATAAATTAAAGATTATTTTATAAAAAAAAAGGATCAATATTGTTAATTTTACAATATTTCAATTACTATATTATATTGACAATGATAAAAATTAAATAAATAAATAACATAATTACTATTTAATCAAATAAGAAATTTAATTAATTACAAAAATTATAAAAAATAAATAAAAATTAAATATATATATATATATTTTTTACAAAATAAAGTAGACTGTTAAACAGTCTGGGCCGACTGTACAAGTCATGGGTCGACTGTTTACAGTTGGCCCGACTGTTAACAATCTGGGCCGACTGTTAACAGTCGACCAAGACTGTTAATAGTCAGTCGGCCCAAACTGTTAACAGTAGGGTGAATCGATTGTTAACAGTCGATGAAGCTGGAAATCGCCATTGCCGGTGACAGAACTCCAAAAATTGCAAAAAAATTCACATTTTTCATACTCCCAGCATGCCCACAATCTAACTACTCATGCCCATGGATCTAATTAAACTGAATAATGTAAGGAAAATGCTAAATTTACTTATTCAATAAATTTTCTACTGAAACAAAAAGTCATCATGAAAACTAACCGGTTATTTTATTTCCAGTGTAGATGAAGGTCGTTGACTGTAACGTTGGTGTAGTTGCCGGTGGTTGATTGGTCAAATTTTTGGCGACTGTGCATCGGTTTCTTTTTTGTCGGTCGGTTAGACAGAATTTTTCAAACAGTTTGAAGGGTAAAATCGCCTTTTACTGTGAAGTTTTTTTTTTTTTAACTTAATTTGTTTTTTCTTTAATTTATTTAATGGCTCAAAGGCCAATGTCAAATTTTGCTACAGTGGAAGAGCCATTTTCGTGTATTTCCTCGATTATTAGAGCCATAACTGGTATATGTTGTAAATTGCTCTAGAAGGTTGCTGCTAACATTGCCACCAAATACTGAGTAACTGAGGATGGTAGTTACGTTTCCAAGAGCTACTAGCAAAACAGTCTACCGAATGTGCAAATTCACAATGAAGTAAAAGATACTCCATATTCTCTGTAGGTTTTCAGAGGTATAACCAAAATCCCACTAAGCAAAGAAATCCTATCTTCGGTTGAAACCCGTTGAAGAAGGATTCTCCACAATAGGAATGAAGGAGATGGACGAATGAACTTCATTCAAATCCACTTAAACTGGGTGGCTCTGAGGATGAAAATGCTCATAGGCCTCTTTAAATTATACCTGTTTAGGTGAGGATCCAGTCCAAATTAATTCATATTGCAACCCATGCAATGGGATAATACATTCAATCAAGCTGCAAATAATCGAAAATT